TTTAGATTTTTTTTTGTAGCAGAATTAACTATTTATCCAGGAGCCTTGTTTTAAATTTTCCATCCTTAGGTATAAAAGTTAAATGTTTTATAAATCTTTAACAACTAAAGAATTTGTGTATTTTCAATTAAATAAATTTTGTCAAAATTTGAACTTTAAATAGTTGTTAAAAAACAAAACATACCTATATTGTATTTTTAATATTTTACAATTGCTATTTATCAACTAATGGGGAACCTTGAGTTAAATTTCCAAGTTTTTTGAACATTTATAAAAAAAAACTAAAAGGATTGAACATTTCAAATGTCTATAAATATCTTAAAAATTGTCAAAATATTTTAAAATGTTATCAAATATAGAAAATGTCAGTAAGAATATACAGTGGAAATTCCATGTGTCTACGATAATTTGTTTTAGAGTTACAAAAATATCTATAATCGATTTTCTCAAAAATTAATTTTGCAAAAAAATTTTTGTTTTTCCTCAATTTTTTTTGTTAGTTTTTGCAGGTGCTTTTGAAAACTASTGAGAATTTCAAAATTTGACCAACTAGATTCACTTGCAACCGAAAAGCTATTGAAGTTGAAAATCGAAACACTATTTTGGCAACTTATCATGTATGTAAAAAAAACATCATTTTAAAATCAATACATTCATCACTCCGCTCAGAATTTAAAAAATATCCAAATGGCCAATTTTACAAAATTATGTTAGGATACAGTGAAACATAAATTTGAAACATATTCAATAAATTCACAAATGCCCAAAGAATAAAAAATAGTTAGAGCTAAGTAATTATTAAAATTAATAAGACGTACATCATTTGATGAAGTGGGTGATTATGTAATATGTGTGTCCTATATTATATCAAATGTGTAATATTTTAGCAATTTGTTTTAGTTGTAGTTTGCTTACTTTTATTTCAAATCTAACAGCAAGGTCATAACAGRAGATAATCTTAACCACATCTTCAGAAAATAAAAATAGGAAATCATCACTTTTGACACCATCTCTGAAAATAATCGTTATAAATATATTTAATTTATTACAGAAAAATATAGAAAACTAAATTTTTATATTATACAAAAACTACTTTTTTATTAAAGCTTCAGAACTTGAGAACTATTCTGAACYATTATGAAAGTCAGCAAGCACTTTGATACCAASATAATTTGATGTATCCAGTTGTTTTTGTAAGAACTCATCATCACATGAATCATGAACAAAATCTTACTAAAAGAAGTTTGCAGCTAGTAACAATACCTTGAGAAATCAACAATAATACATTCAAAACAATTTTATATTAGTCTTTGACAAATAAAATATTCAATTATACTTACATTTTTTCTTTTGAGGCATTAATGTCTCCAGTATAGATGTTATCTACTAATAGTTGTAAAACGGAATCTCTAATTTTCTAATACTAATAAAATCGCTATTGCTCTCATTAAAATAATTAAAAAACATTGTTTGGAAATATGCACTAGCTGCCATTAAAATATTTTCAAGATCAAATGTTATAAATCCATCATCTRTTTTGAATGTAATATCACATACAACTGTTGTGATATAGATGTGGAACAYGGTTGATAAGTAGGCAAATCAAATGAACAACTCAAGGAGTCAAGGTTTTAAATTTAATTATTAATCGTGGTTTATTTAACTCAGTTAGTATTTAACACTTTTAAACACTCAGAGTAACGTTTTCAACTTAAGACAATTATTTTAGTAYCTAGTAGTATTTTAGTCAACTAGTCGTAAAAAAAAAAATAGTGTTTGTGATTGCTCGTAGAGTGCCTTTATATAATAGACACCAGCCGGATCTTATTGTGTTTACAACGTCTCTTTTTAGGCATTCATCCTAATACTTCAATATTTTTAGAAATCAACTTTTCCTTGTAATACTTATTAATTAGTGATTAAGATACTKCCTCACATACTCGATGCAGCTATCTCAACACAACTTCTAAAAACGAAAATGTATTAATACTATTTATTTTTAATGAA